TTTGCAACCCTTAACCTGCCCAGCGAGATCATTAGACCGCGACGGAATTGATATTTATGGTCCTCTACCCAACTCTCTTCGAGGCAACCGGTGGATTATCGTCGCCGTCGATCATTTGACACGCTACGCTGAAACATCTGCGCTGCCTGCTACCACTGCAAAAGACGTTGCGTCCTTTCTTCTTCACCATCTCATTTCGCGACACCGTGCACCTCGTGAATTACTGAGTGACCGTGGACGCGTGTTTCTCTCGAGCGCCGTCGACAAGCTGCTCAAGGCATGTCGCACTGTCCATCGGAAATCCTCGGCATACCATCCTCAAACCTATGGCATGACGGAACGCTTTAACCGTACCCTTGGAGATATGCTCGCCATGTACGCCTCTGACGACCACACTAGTTGGGACCAAGTGCTCCCTTTTGTTACGTACGCGTACAACTCAGCGCCACAAACAACCACTGGCTTTTCTCCTTTCTTCCTCCTGTACAGACGTGAGCCATCATGCTCCATGGACACCATTCTCCCTTACAGGCCTGATGTTTCCGAAGCGGCGCCTGTTTCCGAAGCAGCTGCTTATGCCGAAGAGTGTCGTCAACTCGCTCGCTCATTTACCGCACAAGACCAATGGCGCCAGAAAACTGACCACGATTCCTCTGCGTCTACTGTACACTATAACCCAGGAATGCTGGTTTGGCTCTGGGTCCCGTCTACCTCTCCCGGTCTTTCCTCGAAGCTTTCGTCGAAATACCATGGCCCCTACCGTGCGGTGCGGCAAACATCTCCTGTCAATCATGAAGTTGAGCCCATTGATCCACCTTCGGACCAACGCTGCCGTGGGCGTGAAACAGTACGCGTATCACGCCTCAAACCGTGCTGTGACCCCCTTGTCGTATCCTTTCCCTACTAGGTCGCCAGGTTGGCCCCTTTCTGCGCGGGGAGTAATTCTACCAAAGCATAGTGACGCCAGCTCTGTGCCAGCGTGAAAGAAGACGTTGACGTCCGTGTGTGGCTCGTGCTTGCCGGGTTCCTGCTTGTACCTGCTTGTTGCGGCTAACGTTTCTCGAATAATAACCTGTGTTTTTACGCAACCTTGCTCGTTGCAATACATACATATATATATATATATATATATATATATATATATATATATATATATATATATATATATATATATATATATATTCGTAAGCCAAGAAGAGGTGATGATTTGAACGAAAACCTGCTATCACGACAATCTTCCCTTTGCGGAGAATATGCGCACCACCGTTTTACGGGTTAATTAGTGCTTTCGAAATGCATTGCATTTTAGAGGCTCCGCTTGCTGTCCACCAGTACGTCTCACGTCACGTGATCACGCTCCCAATGAAGTAACCAATGAAAACCTAGAGCGAGGTTGCAAGCAATTCTTAAAGAAGCTGAAAATAAATGAACAAGGCGTAAAACACTATCATGAACAGAAATAACAAAGTAGTAATCTCAAGAATTACTTTGAAATGTCTAAAAACACTTCCGAAACGTGCAGCTGACCCACACACTGCGTTAACACCTGTGCACGCCCAGCCCACACAGCTGCACTGCACATGATATGTGGGGTTTACCGTCCCAAAACCACCATATGATTATGAGAGACGCCGTAGTGGAGGGCTCCGGAAATTTTGACCACCTGGGGTTCTTTAACGTGCACCCAAATTTGAGCACACGGGCCTACAACATTTCCGCCTCCATTGGAAATGCAGCCGCCGCAGCCAGGATTCGAACCCGCGACCTGCGGGTCAGCAGCCGAGTACCTTAGCCACTAGACCTACGTGGTGGGGAATGTGACAGGGCACCTGCCGCACGCAAGCGGAGGGCGAAAAAGCGTCACCGATTTGCTCTTTTACCTCCAGCTTGCGCGCAAAAGGTGGGGTCCAGCCATCTGTGTTGTGGCTGTGCGGGTAGCGCGTGAAAGGGCCCGTACAGGACAAAAGAGAGGGAGCCCTACCTCATTACGCATGGGATTGCATCTCTTACCATCGCTTCTCCAGCGTCTTAGGAAAAAGAAAATCTGAGAGAAATTGGTGCAGGAGACACGTACAATCGTCCTCAAAAGTTTGCAAGGTCTGCAGTGCATGGCCGAGCGGCAGAAAACTAGATTGCGGTGCCGTATACCGTGATGCGGCAGTATAGTGTTGAGATTATCGACCATGGTTTCCGAATTTACATCCAGGAGCAGCGCATTGTCTTAACGCGCCGTTACTAATCGCGGAGACCGCTTACAATCACTTCAACACCACGTCGTGGAACGATAAGCTGCGCAGCAACGAAGTTTTCCGCCGCTTCGCCTGATACTGCAGATCCCGTAATTTTTTACAACTGACAGCACATCACCAGCCGTATCAAACAGGAATTCAATAAGCGCAGCAAAAAGTAGCTTGCTTGTCACACACCAAGTTTGTGAACCTCTCTAACGTGACGATTCGTGCCGGGGACGTTCATGCTGACGTTTATGCTTACCTCAAGCATGAACATCATCGAGGTTTGGTAAACGAAGCAATAGAAGCTTTCCGTGCGGGAATAGCTGGGTGCCCGCACTACGCACTATTTAAAATTTCAAATTTGTTAGTTGAAAGATCTTCAACAACATGAATGGCTTTCCAAGAAATACTTTAGTACTATAATTTCGCTTAGATTGTAATCGAGTATTGTAAACTAGTGTATTGCTAAATCATTCTATGCAATTATATTTTACAAAATTCTTCATCTGACAGGATAGTGATACCTGTTCGCTAATGCACTATATAACTGGTAGACAGACCACAATACTTTTTTGAAGGAATTCAAAAGGAAACACCACGCTTGTAATTGTCCCGTGGTAGTGACGTTGATGGAGGCTGTGATGGTGCGTCTAAAATGAAACTGCCTATTTGGCCGAAATTATGGCCGGGAAAATGGAAAATGGAAACTACAGCAAGCAATGCACGCTGTACACTGATAATGGTGAGAAGAGCGTCCTCTGTTGATAGAACCGCTGGAACACGCTGTCTTATATACATCACGCATAAAATTTGCCGGTGTTATTACTGGTCTTCAGGCAAGCTCTGGAATAAGCTCGAGTGTATGCGCTTCATGCGCATTTTTATCAAAACAATTTACTGTGACAGTTAAGTTTCCAAAACACTGTAGGCGCACTTTGAACTCACCATTTCTGACAGTTTTGTACAGCTAAAGTGAAATAAACCAGCGTGGCAATAGAATAGTATCATGACCTGAAAAACCAGCTTTGGATGAACTGTGGCAGTAGTATTTTTTGACGATTTTTGCGCTTGTTATTACCGCAGTTTCTTCTTGCACGAGCTTTCATTATTTACGTTCCTTGAAACCCTCGTGTGATATCTGTGTAGGGCACATCGTGTTTCTGAGTTTTGCATAGTATTCATTTGAGAATAGGGTTCAGAATTAAATATGTCGAATTTGTTCTCAATATTCAGGGAATCAGTGAAGTACTCTGTTGCCATGCACATGTAAACCTTGGCTGCCAGAAGGTGGTCGAGGAAGTGTCACCGTATATATGCGCGAAATATTGTTGGGGCACTGCACTTGTGCACGAGGGGTTGCGACTCCCTCCCACGCCTAGCCGTGCGTGGCTTTGCCGTGTCCGGGGAAAAGGGGATCCTGGGGGTTGAGCTGACGCCAGGTGATTGGACCTTTAAAGCCCCCTGGCGGAGGCAACACACACCTTTGGCCCCGGCTTCACGTGGACGGCACCCCTGAGCTGACCAATGCAGGAGCAATCGGCCAAGGTGGATCAATGGTCAAGGTGCTCGCCACAGTAAAAGTGGGAGGTGGACAGGCTCACTCTCGTAAGAACTGAAAATGCGTTAACTATCTCTCTCTACATACATCCTCGTCTTTATCTCCCACTTTTTATCTGTCCTGTCATCTTCTCTTTTCCGTTTATTTCCAAATTTTCTGGCGGCGAGGGTTAAACCTCTGTAGTTACCCAACCTTGGGTAGTTATATCCGGTCATAGCGGCGATGCATGGCTGGCGTCTCCAAGTGTTCAGAATTCAAACTTGCAGCGTCCTCTTGTTGGGCTCGGTGGTGGGTGGCCACCATCGCTGCAGAATTCAAGATGCTTCTTATGCAAAACCCTTTTCCCGCACTCCCTAATCGCCACCTGAAAAGGTAGCGCACTGATGACAGCTTCTTTCCTGTACAGCCTAAACAGATTTTTCGCAAGTACCATGTAATCAACAGCCAAATTGAAAAGAAAACAGTTCGATCTATTTCACCATTTATTGTTTCTAAAGCGCTTACAGATGCAATTGGCCCTGGCTATAAAGTAACTAAATGGGGAATGGCAATGTCCTTCTAGAAGTTCGCGACAAGACTCAGTACGACAAGCTCACAAAACTAGTATCATTTGATAACATCCCAGTATCAGTGGGCCCACATAGGTCGATTAACACAGTGCGTGGTGTCATCTCTAATATGACCTCCTCGAGCTGTCTCAAAGTGAATTGCTCGAAGGCTGGCAGAAACAAAATGTAGTGAAAGTACAAAAAAAATAACAATCAAGCGAGATAATAAACTGACCTTACAAAGCACATCATAAATACCTTCGCTACAAGCAACCTTGCTGACTCTATTGAAACTGGTTACTGCAAGCTTCGTGTCAGACCTTATCCTCGCCGATTTTTCAAGTGTCAGCGCTTCAGACCTATATAGATCCCAAACGGACAGCGGGCACGCTAGGTGCGCGAAGTGTGCATCTTGGGAACATGTATCTGAAAAGTGCACTTCAGAAGCCTGTTGCGCTAATGTGAAGGAGATCATGCTGCCTACTCTTGATCATGCCCTGCATGAAAAAAAATAGAAACAAATATTAGAACTTGAGGTCAAGTTGAACCTGTCACTTCAAGAGGCACGTCAACATTTTTCTACACACAATCATTCTGAACCTTCCTTCGCCAACGTGGCACGTCGAGGCGCCGTACCACGTCTTTCGGCACCCGCGAGATTCACACGAAGTGTGACTGCGGTTGTGCCTGAAGCGCCTCCGGCTGGAGCAGCCTGAACTGCTCCGATTTCTGTTCAAAAGGGCCAGGAGACTTCAGAGTCTGCTGGACGACGGACCACTGCAAGTGCAGTCAGGTCCGAAACTGCCATAAACGTGCCTGCCAAGCAGGCATCATTCACCACCTCAGAAGAGGTGATGGACACAAGCCATACTCCTCCGGCGACCCAGACGCCGAAGGAAAGGCACAGCTCTTTGGAGCGAAGCAGGAAAAAGAAACCCCGTATTACAGGGCCCCAACAGGCCCTGTAGCTTAAGCCAACGTTTCTGTACACAAAGAGGTTAGCCACAATAAAAATGGAGACACAAATGTTACAGTGGAACGCCAGAGGACTCCTGAGAAACCTTGACTATGTTCAAGAACTTTTACATAAACAGTCACCAAAAGTGCTGTGTGTACAAGAAACACACCTAAACCCAAGATCACTAATTTTCTACGCCAGTATATCATTTTTTGAAAGGGCAGGAATGAAGCCGTCACGTCATCTGGTGTTGTGGCCATTATAGTCAATCAAGGGATTGCATGTACTATCTACCACTCGAAACATCTCCTGAAGCAGTGGCTCCTTGTGTAGTTCTCCTGAACAAATTCGGCACCATCTGCTCTGTCTACATACCTCCACACTATCATCTTGAAAAACGTTAATTGCAGTCCCTAATAGATAAACTTCCAAAACCTTATATCCTTCTTGAAGATTTCAATGCACATAGCAATCTATGGGGTGACTCTCGCTGCAATGCTCGAGGTCGCCTGATAGAACAAGTTCTTTTTGCTTCTGACGCGTGCCTTTTAAATCAAAAAGAGCCCACATACTGCTGCCTCGCCAGCAATACCTACTCGTCAATAGACCTCAGTATTGTCTCAACATCCCGCCTTCTTTTACTGACATGAAAGGTCATCAATAATCCTTACGGAAGTAACCACTTTCCCGTGACGCTAAGCACACCCATATCAAATGAATATCACCCACAGGTCCCCAGATTAATCACTGACAAAGCTGATTGGGAACAGTTCTCGCAGATTACTCACTTAAGTTAGATTGACCTATCTAGATGCAGTTGTACAATAGATGCAGTTGTACAATATGCAGTTGTACAAACATAGATGCAGTTGTACAATACTTTTCTGCTTTTCTGACCGACGCTGCGATGAAATGCATTCCGCAAACTTCTGGACTGCCTGGCAAGCGACGTGTCCCATAGTGGAACACTGAATGTCACAATGCACGCAAACAACAAAACAAAGCGTGGAGATTGCTACGGTGCTCGCCGACAGCAGAGAATCTTGAAAGCTTTAAGAAAATCAAGTCCCAAGGTAGGAGAACGCGCCGGTAGGCTAGGAGAGAAAACTTGCATAGGTTTTTATCAGGCATCACTTCATATACACAAGAAACTATAGTCTGGAACATGGTTCGCAAGGTAGCAGGGCGACACGCATCTTCACTACCTCTTGTAGGCACACAAGGGGACACCTGGGAAGACCAGGTGAACTTCTTCGGTGCCCACTTCGAAGAGGTGTCCAGTTCGTCTCTATATACTGAATCTTTTCAACGACACAAACGGAAAATCGAAAAAGAGAAACTACAGCAAAAATCCTGTAAAAATGAGTCGTACAACTCTTTCTGTTTGGCCGAGTTACAAGCATCGCTGCATGTTTGCAATAAATCAGCTCCACGTACAGACCATAATATACGAAATATGAAAATAACTGCCTTCTTAACACAAAAAAAACCTGCTTTCCCTGTATAACTCTATCTAGTTTTCCGGTGAAATCTCCTCTGCCTAGAAAGAAGCCATTATTTTTCCAATTTTAAAGCAAACCAAGAATCCATCTTCCGTTAGTAGTTACAGGTCAATCGTACTTACAAGTTGCAGGTGTAAACTTTTTGAAAAAATGATAAATTGCAGACTTGTGCCTTACCTTGAAACGTACCACTTGCTCGACCCATTCTAATGCGGGTTTTGAGAGGGTGAATCCACCACCGACCACCCCGTACGTATCGAGGCACAGATCCGAGACGCCTTCGTTCACAAACAATACTTTCTTTCTGTGTTCCTCGACATAGAAAAAGCCTACAATACGACATAGAGATTTGGAATATTAAGAGACTTGTCCAATCTTGGTGTGCGTGGCAGGATGTTTACTATTATTGACAGCTACTTGTCCAATTGTACATACCGTGTCGGAGTCGGCAGCATTCTTTCCCGAACATTTGTCCGAAAAACAGGATTGCCGCAAGGTAGTGTACTTAGCTGTACTCTTTTTATTGTCAAATGAATTCTTTGTGTCATTACATCCCAAAAAATACGTTTACCTGTACATATGTCGATGACGTTCTGCTTGGATTTAAGTCTTGTAACCTAGAAGTTTGTGAGTGGCAGATTCAGCTTGGCTTGAACAAAGGCTCCTATTGCGCGAAGGAAAACGGATTCTGATTAAACCCCCCCAAAACGCGTGTGTCTTGTTCTCTAGAAAGAGAGGCACTCATCCCGACCCTGACCTTCAATTGCATGGTCAACGCCTGTCTGTTAATGCCAAATACAAACTCTTGGGCCTGATTCTGGACACCAAGCTAACCTTCGTACCACACTATAGGTATCTAAAAACAAGTGCATCAGAACCATGAACGTTCTAAAAGTGCTGTCACGCACTACGTGGGGAAGTGAGAAGAAATGTATCATGAGTTTGTAAAGGAGCCTCGTACGCACTCACTTGGATTATGGAGCAATAACCTATCCATCTGCGACACTTACCGCCCTAAAAATGCTTGACCCTATTCACCACCTAGGCATCCGCCTCTCTACGGGTGCCTTTCATACCAGCGCCGTTTAAAGCCTGTACGTGGAATCAAACAAATGGTCACTCCACCTACAGAGATGCTATAAGTCTTTTCTATATTATCTCAAAGCAAAGGCAGACAAGGACCACCATTCATACTTCACAATTGATGACATGTCTACTTCTGTTTTGTTTGAAAACCGGCCATCTTTGAGACAGCCCTATTCACTTCGTGTGAGGGGCCTTTCTGAGGAAACCAGTGTGTCACTCGAATATTGTTTGATGGCTCCCGCAGCATTTCCGCTACCATGGCTGTGGCAATTGATAGATTGTGATGTGTCTTTTTTAGAGATTACAAAGCACGAACCAATTGAACATATCCGCACATACTTTGAAGAACTACAACAAAAGTACACATACCCTGAATTCTTCACAGATGCCTCAAAGTCCAACACTTCTGTTTCATACGCAGCCATTGGCCCATACTTCTCAGATACTCGCATCCTGCACCCCGATGCAAGCATTTTCACAGGAGAAGCCTACGCAATACTTGCAGCTGTTAAACACATTGCACATAAAAACTACAAAAAGCGGCAGTGTACACGGATTCTCTGAGTGTGGTGAAAGCCTTGAAAACACTTACAAAATGCAAAACCCCAGTGCTTAAGTCCCTTTATTCACTCTTACGCACAGTCTACCCATCCAAACAGCATGTTGTAATCTGCTGGGTGCCGGGGCACCATGAGATACAGGGAAACGTTTTGGCAGTTCAGCTGGCTGCATCCGCCAGCAACGATGCCGCTAATGCATCAATACCAATCCCTGAACTTGACATGAAACCTTTTCTGAAACAAAAACTCAAAGTTTATTAGCAAAACTTGGGGGATAGACACACAAGTAAAAAACTACAAGTTATTAAGCCACAACTTGGTCATTCGTGGCTCCTATTAAAATCGCGACATACAGAAGTGACACTCACAAGGGTAAGAACAGGGCATACATACTCTACACATTTATATAATCTGCCTGCCGGTGATCCATTATTGTGTGCGAGATGTGGAGAACCACTTACGGTTCTCCACATTCTCGTCCAGTGTGATGAGTTGGACGCTTTAATGAAAAAGCACTTTTTACTGCCCTACCGACAGCAGCTACCACTACACCCTGGAGTGCGTGTCGGTAGGGATCCGATTTTTAAATTCCACTCATTGTTTACGTTTTTAAATGATGCATGCAGTTTTCACTGCATATTTTAAGGTGATCTATAGCAGGACATGTGGTGACTACATCTCCGCCATAGTCTTATTACACTACCTTTTGATATTCATTTTCACTGCACATATTTCATGACACTGTCATAATTTTAATACTTAATTTTTACCCACTATAGCGTGAGGAACTTTAAGGCCTCTTTACAGCCACTCATCATTTACAATGTCATTGTCCATATCTCTCGTCTACCTAAATGGCGCTCTCTGGCCATCAATTGGCCTTTGCACCATAAAGCGCCACACATCATCATCATCACTTGCGCACGAGCTTGCAACGAAAACATCTGTAGGCTCGTCTGTCAACCACTCTGAATGACCATCCTCAACGTTTGAGGGGAAAACACAAGGAGCGCATGCATCCGCCAGCAGTGGAACAGACAAGCTCGAGCGCTTGTTAGTTTAGTAGTTTCAGGACTTAACGTTTCTCGCGTAGACTGCGACAATGTCTTTAGAAACTGGTGAAGCGATGGTTGTAAGTGCGCGCAATATGAAATGTTTGACTGACCATATATTGCTCGGTTGGCAAACAGTACTTCAGTTACGAGAGCAAGCATTCATTACCGAGTAAACTTTTTTTTTCGCCTGAACAACCAGGAGAAGCGCAGAGGTTTTTTATGCCTACTTGAATGAGAACGCTCGCTGAAGAGCGACGAAGGAATTGTATAACAGTGGACGGACTGCTCTTCTCATTATGTCGACATCATGTGGATAACACAATACGTCACTTTTTCCTGGCACATGCCGGGACTCTCGAATAAACGAATTAGTTGGTATTGCTGAATGAAGGGACATGAAAGGCAAGAAACAGTTTATTAGGGAGTGAGAAGTGAGGCCGTGAAAACGCCTAAAGCTTCAATATTTTGCACAACAGCACTTCCTTACTGGAGAAAGTAAATGCAGGACATGATTCACCTCACAGCAATTTAGAAGGCACACCTGGTGACTTGGCAGGGCTTGGTTTTGATTGGTTTTTGTGGTTCTTAAAAAACTTGGGCTCTTATGCAAGTTTAATCTTCAGCATAATTACTAACGTGCTGAAACTACCCATGACAGAATAGAAGCATTTTAATGCAAAACAATGTGAAATAAAATCCTTGCAATTCTGTCTTATTCTTGTCAAAAAGAAATTGATAACTACGCAAGTTCTCTTTTCGCAGGACTACGCTGCACTAAGTCTTCTTGCTTCGTTGCGTCATCTGTGCAGTGCTGCTAATGTTAAAAAGGAAAACTTTTTTTCGGTACGGACTATCTGAACTGTGCCAACGAAATTCCGATTACTATTAAGTGTCTTCCCTTCAAACTAAGCATTTTCTTAGCACAAAAGCAGTACGAGGTGTCTTGGACTATATGGTAAATATACACGTCAAGTAGACTGCCTTTAGCGTAACTTGGCTCCTTTTCGACTTGCGCATTGCGCTACTCGGTTTTGGTCAATTACCTTGAAGCGAACGCTATCGGGTGGCGCGCACCATTACGTTGTTCTTGGAAAAGGAAGGCCCCAAGACCAAATGAGGAGGTATCCACCGAAAGAATTGGGGGAAGTCCTGGATCTTACATGACCATACGGTTTGCCGAGCAGACAAGAGCTTTTAAGCTATCGAAAGCTGTGTTCTGAGATGGACCCCAAACCAATTCAGTCTATTTCTGCAAAAGCACCCGTAGTAGGGCAGTGGTTTGCGCTAAGTTCGACAAAAAGTGGCTTAGGTGATTGGCATTGCCGAGAACACTGCGCAATTGTGAAATATTCGAGGGCGGATTCAGCTCTTTATTAGCTCAGAGTTTAGCCGTATCAGGCTGTACGCCTTCTTCACTTAGAAAGGGACCCAAAAAGCTCATGCTTCGTGCTCCAAATACACACTTGCTTTGTTAAGCGTAACATTAGACTTGACCAACCTAGCTAAGACATTTGATAGCCTAGAATCATGTTGCCCATTGCTGTCGCCAAATATGAGAATATCGTCCATCAGGTTAACGACACCAGCAAGGCCTGTCAGTATTTCAGACATTCTCCTTAGAAATTACTCTGGGCTGAAGTAATACCAAACGGCAACCGATTTAAACAGTACTGCCCAAACGGCGTAATGAACCTGGTCAGTAGTTTTGAGGCCTTGTTGAGTTGCACCTTGTGGAATCCGGAATGTCCGTCTAGTTTGGAAAACCATTTCACGCCGGCAAGTCTACAGTAGGCAACGTATGCCTTTCTCTTAGGACAAACTTGTTCAACTGCATAAGGTCGACACAGATCTATAGGTCTCCCGAGGACTTTTGTACGGGAAAACCACCAGCACACCATTCGGTTGGCTCTTTGACTGCCTGAAAACGCCCCTTTGTTCCATCTTAGCCACATTCTGCTTCACAGGTTCCTGAAGCGGTATAGGAATCCTGCGTGGTGCGCTTACTGCAAATGGACATGCGTCTGGTTTTAGCCTGATTGTATACTCCCCGGGCATACAGCCTAAGTCTTCAAAAACCTGAGGGCACAAAACCTCGAAGTCAAGTTTTTTCTCAGTGACAGAGTCAGCGAACTTAATAACTCCTAATGCTTCCAAAGCTGGCAACCCTAGCAGTATATTGCGCAAGGGTTTGACGACATAAAATGTTTGGCGAGAAGTTTGAAACTTCTCCAGAACAATTAGTTGGGCACCACAAGCACCTGTCAAGATGTCGTCGGCCTTTTCTAAGCTCGTGGCAAGTCCAGAAAACGATGCTGGAATTACGGACTCTTCTTCCCCAAAGTCAACCTTTGCGAAAACAGGCACTGCATTAACAAATACCTGAACGTAACGTGCCTTGGCACCAGGCGCCTCTACTGCGCCTAGAAAAATTTTACGAGTGTCTTTTTTTACGGACGACACTCGTACCTTTCGCTTGTTCCTTGGAGAAGTCCCTTTGAGGCACACGTACCTTTCCAAAACGTCCCTTTACGACACAGTTAAAGCACTCCTGTGCTCTAGCTGGACAGTCTGTCCTAGCGCGGGAGTGACCGCCGCAGAAGATGCACTGTCTTTCGAAACGAAGTGCTGGCGGCCGGGTGTCCTCACTGTGGCACGGTTTCATGCGGTGACCCATTGTTTCAACGCTGACTTCTTGACATAGATTGAACTGAGTGCTGTCGTGAACCTCGTTGGAGTTGCGAAGCTCTGCTTGTTGCTGCTGAACTGTCTCTTTCAGGCGGGCCTTCACTAGAGCTGTCGCGAGAGATAGCTCCGGGTCCATTTGAAGTGACTCGGAAAGTTTTTTGTCCCGCAGGCCAAAGACGAACCGGTCTCGGATGAGGTGCCCCTTGAATCCTCCGAAGTCGCATTTTTCCGCCAAGATGTGCAGAGCTGTCATGAACTGGTCAATAGACTCGCCCGGCATCTGGTGCCACTTGTGAAAGCAAGCGCTCTCGTACACAATGTTGGTCTGCTTGGTGAAGTACTCGTCGAACTTTTTTGACCAGCTCGAACTTCTTCGTATCTTCTGCAGAGACATTGAAGGTAACGAAGATGCCCCTTTCTTGCTGTTTCATGGTGTGCAGCAGAGTACTTGCGCCTCCTCCGAGCACTCATTCAGGCCAGCGCCTCCTAGAATTTGCAAGGCCTCTTCACTCCCTTTGTTTCCTTGTCTCACGTCAGCACACCTAGCCCGACGAACCGGTGGGCATTGTGAGGACCGGTTGGAGACTGCAGGCTCAGTGAGTCCATTCGTTAGGGCGAGCCTGTTAGAACTTGTTTGGGCCTGACACAGCAAGGTACTACGCTGCACAAGAATTTTGAAATAGTGCTGGTGAACCTTCTTTGGAGATTTGTGCAAGTCTTGACCCTGGCTGTGTTAATTGGAGTTCAAGCAGTGAAGTTTGTTCGCGTGAAATTACCAGGAAGTTCACAGGATGGGCCGCTGCTGCGTGCCGAACTGTCATTGAGACCATGACGGTGGACCGAAGGTACGTTTGTCCTCCTTCCCTAAAGACGACCGCAGGATACAATGGAAACGCGCCAATCGACACTTTGCGTGATCCGAAGGTAAAAATTAAAAATTTTTAACAATAAACCTTCACATAAAGCGAATTCTTTGTCGCAGATCTGTGCTAGGGCAGCGCATTACGGAGCAGCGTCACTCTAGATCTCAATCCTTCCTAATTATAACGTTCTAGAAATTAATTCAGGCAGAAAAACTTATATAAAATGTTGCTAAAAATTTTAAAACAATTTCTATGCTTCTGCATATCGCAGGTCTGCGAACTTCATTTCAAAGCAGAGTATTTGAGGACTACTACCACACACACGAATAGCAACGGAAACACTATAGAAGTTCCTGTGAGCCTTACTCGACTAACCAATGATTCAGTGCCGACCATGTTTTCGAACAACTCCGCTTACCTATACGACTGGGCTCCCGTTCGCAAGGAGCCTGACGCAAAACGAAAGCGCCATGAGGCACACCAGCTACAAAAGGGCATTCAGATGTCACTTGTTTCGCACGTAAAGGAGGAATGCAAGAATGGAGTGGCATCTTTCGAGCAGCTCGTGTCACAACTCTCACAACTTAAGTTGTCCGACTATTGGATAGTGAGCAGCACGGAAGCTGCTGTTATGTTTCTGCATATTCAGAGTAACACACTACCTCCAGAGGTTGAACGTTCTGTGGTTGTTTCCGATGTATTGCACATTTCTGCCTACTAGAAAAAGATGAAGCTGCGCATTGCTGATGTTCCCTTTCATAAACACTAGAAGGCATTCGGAGCTTGCAGACTATTCTTGAAAGTGTGCAGCATTTCGATGCTTCAGACGTCTGCGAAAAAGCAGAAAAATTGAAAGCCTGCTTCCACTTTATTTTTTTCTATTCTTGATGACTTTTCTATTGGTGACCTGCTACCAGAAGAGAAATTAGAAGCGTTTGAGTTTCTGAAAGAACAGTTGTGCCTTCTACTTGAAGAGCGACGAGCTATGAGATAATATTCAAATCTTTTTATACTAGCTCGCATTTTTCTTACGATCTCTCCTCACGCATACAAAGTCATTCGCAAGACTGGGAAATTAATGTGACCTCATCCTTCACAATACTAAGGCTGTGCAGCAAGTACAATGCAAGTCCTGCAAACGAACAAAGCAATGAAGGCTTTTTGCAATAGATTACAAAAAAGATGGGCCTTCTAAAGCCCCACGAAAAAATCGTAACGCACTTGTGAAATGAAATACGCATACAGCATTATTTTGCGTATAAGGGTGGCTCATTAACAGGGACGGCATCAAATTCCTGGGAAGCATTAAAAACAGCACACGTGTTCACGACAAATTCATTGCTTTCTACGCACAAAGATGTGGTAACCATCATTCCTGTTTTTAGCATTGAAGCCAGCCATTTCCACGACATCCTGTAAAAGTAAATTAGGGTCTGGAAAAAGCAGGACTTAATGTATCTGCCGTTATCACTGATAACAACGCTGTGAACTGAAAAGTAATGTCATTTTTTTTCAAAAAACAACACGATAGACATTGTGTACCCACATTCAGCAGACGATTCAAGGCCGCTATTTTTTGTTGTCGATACAGTGTATTTAATAAAGTGCATCGGTAACAACTGGTTGAACCAGAAAAATGAAGGCTGTTCTATTTTTTATCCCGAATTTTCAAGTACGACATCACAGGTGCAAGTGAATAAAGCAACATTTCAGACACTTCGTGAAGTGTACGCTTCCGAGCAACACAATCTCTCGAAGCTTGGATACAAATTTACTTTTAAGGCTTTCAACCCTTCTAACATCGAAAGACAAAACGTGAAGCTAGCACTGAAAGTGATCAGTCCATTCATTGCAGAAGCACTGAAACTTATGGTGCAAAGCTTGGTTTAAGTTGTGCCCGATAAACTGCTGAATTTATTGAATTAATACACAAGTGGTGGTGCGTTGAGCACACTAAAACACCATCTAAAGGCAAGCGCCTAAAACTCCTCTTCAAGCCCCCATAAGAAGTACGGAGGACATGCAGCTGCAGTTGCTTAATGCATTTGTAGACTGGCTTGACACTTGGGAAAACTTAAAGTTTGGCTCTGGGCGTGAACGACTGTTAACCACGGAGGCGCACTCGGGGCTTCGTCTCAAGTCGTACACCTTGATTAAAGTCAGTCGGTTTTGCCTGGGGGAGCTAGGCTTTGAATATGTCTTGCCTGGAAAGTTTCAGACAGACAGATTTGAGGAGAGGTTTGGTCGTTACCGTTGGCTATGTGGAACCAACTACCATATTGCCATCCAACAAATTTTTGAGTCAGAAGCAAAACTCAGGTTTCGGAACTCACTGGTTTTTCCAGATATGAAAGAATTGTCCTAACCAAGAAGTATTGTGTTTATTGCAGCCAAAGTGATAGAAGAATTTGGCATTAAGTTGACTGAAGAGGACGTAAAATCAAGAAAGGTAAGCTTGCCTGCAAGAGTATTATGCATGTTACCGCGCCCACGCCGCTCTCAGGAAAATTCCCTGTGAAGATTGTGCAGCCAACATCATGACACAAGATAAGGATATACAAATGGTTGATGATATGTTAATCGAAGGCCTCACAGGGGCCCTAAAATTTCCCCAACCAGTAGTAATAAGTGCTGTTCTGCACACAGAAATCGTTCTAGAAAAGCCGACCTCGAAAGAGAACACCGCCCAGTTTCATGCAGCACGGCACTAAAGGCAGCTTCTTCTCAGTGTGGTGAAGCACCTTTTATTTGACAATGAAGATTTGGACATTTGTTCCAAAGGACACCATCCAGAGACAGTGCTTCACAACATCTTGTGGACAGCCACCAACACCTTACTGAAAAACTACGTCCAAATGAATACCGACATGTTAACGGCGGCAAAGAAGAACGAAACACTGAAGAGGAAACTGAAAACGCTCAATTAAGCTACCTTCAATGTCCTGAAAAGATTCACGTTAAAATAAATAAATGATGTCTCCACGAACTATAGTGTATTGTAGTTTACTTCTTTTCATTCAAGGTAATCGAAATGTGCCATACCATATTCTGGCACACTTCTAACGCTACGGATTTCAGGCACAATAATCAAAGCTTCTTTTAGCATGCCTTAGTTTGACATAACTTGCCCTCAAATTTATATCTGCACGCTTGGTAGAAAAGTACCTATATGTGATTAGCACTCTGTGACTTGTGTGAGGCAACCCCACACACATCTAGTGCATGAAAGTGAGTAGAGCCTAGACAACTAGCAAACAAACTTTTTTGCGAGGCGTGGCCCACTCGGGCAAGGCGCGTGACGTCACGGAGGGAGTGCGCAGGCCTTAACCTGTTCTAGGCGTCTTTGTTCAGACCCGACGCATATTGATAGTCGTCGAAGTGTTGTATTCATGCCGGTCACTCTGAGGTAGTATCAAAGTTCAGCGGCAGTGGTTGCTGAAGGCGTGGCGGAGGTGGTGTGGTGCAGTGTCCATTGCAGTATCTGTTTGAACCGACGTCTCGATGGCTCTTTTTTTTCCCGATGGCGTTAAGGGTGGGCGGACCACATAACTTCCGACACCATGTCGTAGCGGTGCCTGCCACTACCAGTCGGTGATCGGTGAAAGAAAGGATGAGACGGCAGTCCAGGCGATAGGAAAGCAAGAAAAAAAACCCAGCCGTTTATTTCGCAGTGGTTGAAGTAGCAACTGTGACGTCATTACCACGTGTTTCCATACATGGGCCAGGCACGGTGAATCAGCGCGTCATGTAGGAGCGCGCTTTCAGCACACGAGAAACACGTTCCTGCAAAATATGTTGAAGAGTTGCAGTATAGGCAGTTTTTTGCACTTGCGCAACGATGCCAACTCGAACATGCGTATTATCAATACCACAAGCTGATATGAAGCGCTAATGCTCGCGAAGATACTTGCACTGGACACTGCTACATGAATAAACTTCAACGCATGGCAACTAACCGCATTTGACTCTAACCCGACGTGACGACTGTATCAAAATAGTACATATGTGATGTTTGTAAAATTGGGTAGGCAGCACTAAAACCACTATTATCGTTTCACGAAGATTATCGTCTATTTGAGAAGTAGTTCCGAGACCTGGCGTAGCTCTGTGGTAAAATGCTTCATTGGCACCCAGAAATGCTTTGGTTTGATTCCAGCTGAGACTCATCGGGTCGACGCTACCCACGTTGGGTATTTCTTAACACTCGTGCGTTTAAATTGCCCATGTGTGCTCGCGTCATTATTGAGCCGATACCAAGTATCAATCACCTGTAGCACATGCCCGTTCGTGGGTATGTGCCACTGTCTGGCGGGAGGTGTTGGACGACGTTAATTTTTCTTTAATCACATTTACATTACAATTACCTGGCATAACAACTCTTATACTTCACTTGGCGTGATTGTCTGTTTGATTTAATTACCATTGTATCTAACGAAGAAAACGAGCCCTAATTGAAGTATTCGTTCCTTCATTCATAGCGAGAGTCTCGTTCTGGCAGACTTGAAGCCTTAAAATGCTGTGGAAGGAATTA